AAAAAAAAAAAAAAAAAAAAAAAAGGACAGAAATTCTGACACATGCTATTAACATGGATGAACTGCAAGGACATTATGCTGAGTGAAATAAATCAGGCACAAAAAGACAAACACTGTTTGATTCCACTCATATGAGGTGTTTTTATGAGGTAGGACAATCAAAGAGGGAGGAAGTAGAATGGCGGTTGCCAGTGCTGCAGGAGAGGGGAAATGGAGTTACTGTTTAGGGGTACAGAGTTTCAGCTTTGTAAGACAGAAAGAGTTCTGGAATTGGATGATGGTGATGGCTACACGACAGTATTAATGTAAATACTACAGAACTGAGCATTTACAAATGGGAGACGGTAGATTTTACTTCATGTATATATTTCAGAACAATTTTTTTTAATGTATGTGGTGATTTCGGGGAAAAAAATCTCTGTATTTATACAAAATTCCTTATAGCAGTAACAAACAGTTCTAAGATGCTGCTCAACAGAATAAAGTGCCAGCAGAATAATAAGAAACAAAAACCTATTAAAATTAAAGATGCTATGAAAAAGAACCTTACCTGATGACTAGGACCAACACGAATCTCCCCCTGGGTACTGTTCAGCCTCCTGGAACAGAAATAGAATGGATTAAGTTAGCACAATATAGTTTTGACATAAACATTCACTCATTTTTCAAAAAACAGTAATTCACTTCAAATAAATGAGGAAAACTGGAGGAAGAATGCACGTCCCACTACTTCTGATGTTCTCCTGTGTACATATACCACCCACCACTATACACACCTCTAAAACCTTTTTCCTTTGAAAATCCTAAGGACTACAGCTTCCTTTCGTGAGAAACTTCCTATACCATCATTCTTTTTTTGAGACAGAATCTTGCTTTGTCGCCCAGGCTGGAGTGCAGCTGCACAATCTGGGCTCACTGCAACCTCCACCTCCTGGGTTCAAGTGATTCTCCTGACTCAGCCTCCCCAAGTAGCTGGGATTTCAGGTGCCTACCACCACACCTGGCTAATTTTTGTAATTTTAGTGGTAAATTTTAGTAATTTTAATAATTAGGGATTTCGTCATTTTCAGGCCAGGCTGGTCTTAAACTCCTGATCTCAAGGGATCTGCCCACCTCAGCCTCCCAAAGTGCTGGGATTATAGCCGCGAACCACTGCTCCCCTATACCATTATTCTCTCATGCCTCTGAGAGATGGACATTCCTGCAGTACAATTCCAGTCAGACATTTCCTCTTCTCAAGACATGTCAGGGTGCCCTACCATATGCCTTATAAAATACAATTGAGAAAACTTATCCTAGGACACATACTGGGTCATTCATTCATTCAACAAATATTTAAGTACCTATTATAAGCCAGGAATTGTCCTAGGTGTTGGGGATAAGGCAACAAATAGGGACAGGCAGGGTGACTCACACCTGTAATATCCTAGCACTTTGGGAGGCCAAGGAGGGAGGATCACTTGAGCTGAGAGGTTTAAGACCAGTCTGAGCAACAGAGAGTGATATCATCTCTACAAAAACTTTAAAAATTAGATGGGCATGGTGGCACCCCCCTGTAGACCCAGCTACTCAGGAGGATTGCTTGAGCCTGGGAGGTCAAAGCTGCCGTAAGCCACGTTCACACTGCACTCCAGCCTGGGCAACAGAGCATGGCCCTGTCTATAAAAGAGGCAACAAACAAAACAGAAGACAAAGAAGAGGAAGAAATGTGGTGGTCCAGTCCTCAAGAGTCTTACAATCCTCCAGCTGGGAGGAAGCATCCATATCAAAACACCAGAACAGGCCAATGCCCGTATTCATCAACCTAAGACACTTCAGAAGACACAGTAAAAAATGTAAAGGGGAGGTACCAAAATGAGGCAGGCTTCAAGAGTAGACACAGAAGGAGATAATAAGCCAACAGCAGGAAAAAAAGGGGACTTTCCAAGTAGAAATGAAAGCATGCAGAGGTGGCAGGTTGAAAGGGAGGGGCTGTGACAGGGAAATGCTTGCATGAGGGCTGACTTCATCATACAAGTCATCTTCATTAGGAGAATGGCATGTGGAAAAAAGAAGCTAAAAGATGGATTGTTCTAATAGGTTTACAGGAAATGGAAGAAGCTGTTTTAGGAGGTATGTAGAGGAATCAAATCAGCCACAAGTTATTTTAATCACAAGCGCTTCTTTAAGAAAAACAAGCAGTCAGTGTTACTGCTATTTTCCCTTCCAACTTGTCCCTTTCTATTTTCTAACTAGCTGTGAGCAAAACAAGCTGCCAAAAGTTCTCTCCTTTATTTCTAAATACTTTCCAAATGTGTTATTCCCTACAAGTAGACCTAGCCAGAATGTATCATTTCAGAAACCCTCTGCCACAGCCCATTCGGTAACTTGTGCCTACAGCTTAACCTTCTTCAGGTTCTTCCAGAAGGTTTGTTAGTCTAGAGTTCTCAAGTGGTTGGATATCATTTCCACGTCACTGCTACACTGACTCTTAAGTCCTTGACAATTCCCGAACAAACATTCTTGTTCCATTTTTATTTTATTTTGGAGATGCAGTCTTGCTATGCTGCCCAGTCTGGTCTCAAATCCCTGGCTCAAGAGATCCCCTCCTCAGCCTCCCAAAGCACTGGAATTACAGACACGAGCCACCGCACTCACCCCCAACCCCATTTTTATTTTAATAAGCCAATATTATTATTATATTTAGCTCAAAACCATAACGAAACAAACGCCCAAATACCCTGTTGACTAGAACTACTTATATTTCATGTATTTCCATAAAAATAGGAGTCAGATAGTTATTAATAAACTAGTGATAGAAATGAGACAAAAAAATGTATTGGGCCATCTTAAGATACTTGAAAAGTGTTTATATCAGGGAAGAGTACTGATAAGTAGACTATATAACATGAAAACCAAGGTAAAATAAAGAACCTTCTTAAAAGCTTATTTAGAAATCCCTCTTTATGACGAAAGTATTGTTTTTGTTTTGTTTTGTTTTGAGATGGAGTCTTGCTCTGTCACCAGGCTACAGTACACTGGCATGATCTTGGCTCACTGTAACCTCCAACTCCCTGGTTTAAGTGATTCTCCTGCCTCAGCCTCCCGAATAGCTGGATTACAGGCATGTGCCACCACGCTTAGCTAATTTTTGTATTTTTAGTAAAGACAGGGTTTCACCATGTTGGCTAGGATGGTCTTGATCTCCGAACCTCGTGATCTGCCCACCTCAGCCTCCCAAAGTGCTGGGATTACAGGCGTGAGCCACTGTGCCTGGCCTACTACAAAAGTATTTTAAAATTGTACGCAACTTTTAAATATCAGGGTTCTGTAGCAAGGAATATAACAAAGTTCTTTTTGAACAGGTAGGATCTGAGGTGCAGACAATGGCATCAGCCTACCATATGCAAGAGTTACAGAATATAGAATAAATGGTAAAAGTACTTTTTAAGTCCAAGATATAAAGAGGCAGATAGCAACATATGCCATTAGAGAAAGTTTGATGCATCTGACAGAAAAACTGTCACAAGAATAAGAACTGAAGATAAAGGACAAGAAGTACACATGGTGGGGAATTGCCAGCATTCAGCTGTGTCTGGAATCCACTGAGCAATCAGAATCCTCCTTACTGAACTAAGTATCTCTCCCCTGCTGCCGCACTGCTCTCTTCTCTTTTTTTCCTGTATCCCCAGACAGCTACAATACCCTTGATAGGTCAGGCAGCTACAACACCCCAGAATGTTTCCCTGGCAGATGGAAAAAGCATCCCCATGAGGCTGCAGCCAGATGCAAAGTGAGTCTGTGAATTGCTCCCTTCTTGAATGCACCCTTTGTGGTTCATATCTCTTAGAAGAATCTAGTACGGCATCTGCCTATCATTATCTATTCAATTAGGAATAGCTAAAAGTTCCTTGGTTGCATGAATGTTTCTGGACTACTAATTCACCAGAAATTAATATTTAAACATAATATCAACAGCTTGTAGGAAGCCCTCCTAATCATCAATTGCAAACTTAATGCAATTACTACATTTTGTCTTTGACTTAACACAGCATTTCTCAAACTTTTAGGCTTATGGACCCTTTCACACTCTTAAAAATTATTGGAGTGTGTCTTCGTGGTCCCAGAATCTGTCTCTTGTTTCAACGATGTTTGGACAGCACATACCCTGGGACTCCATCTCTTCCAGCCTCCAACTGCCCTCTAATCTCCTCTCCATTTGCAACCTCCAAGACTCTCCTTCTTGGCTACCTCCTCTTCTGGGACCAGCCACCACTGTGTTTGCAGTTATCTCCTCATTGCTGACCAACCGCAAGCTCTTAGATTCTTCAGAATTATCCCATTGAGGTGGCGGCTGCCATCAACCACCTGGTCATTTTGCATTTATGGACATCTTACACCTATCTCTCTCTGAGCTTCTATTTCAACCATAATGATGTGGCTCTGGTAAGCATGGACCACTTCTTCCATGAATTGGCCAATGAGAAGCTTCAGG